TTTCAAATGTCCACTTCAATGTTGCTTCTTTATTACGTATGCTTTTAAGATGCTGTACCAGCCTGAGTCTGAACAGGGATTGTCATTATTCTAACTTCTGCTTCTGATCTCACTGCTAATTGCCTTACCTTGTTAAAAAGAACAATTGAATAAAATTATGCAATGTAATCATGTTTGTTGATCAAAGTATCGGTTTTTATGGGTTGGTTTAATGTTTTTCTTAATGCAGTTGTTTAAAAAAAGAGTAGGTTCATTGATGCGAAGTCACAGTTATGTGTACCCAAGCTAACCCTACATATAGGATATACTATACAGAATCCTACACAGGGGTGGGATTCTACCAGTTTGGACCAGTTCAGGTGAATTGGATGTTGCATTTACATCTTGAACTGACCGTCTGGCCCCGTCCACCCTGCCCCTCCCCTCCCAGGAGTCTCCATGGGGCCCATTTTGGATGCAGGTAAGTGCAGGGTCCCTGCAGAGGCTCGGGGAGGGTGAAAAACGGGCTGAACCGGAAGTTATGGAAGTTCCAGAAATGGGACTGTTTCTGGCTTCCAGAGGCCCTCCGGAGCCCGGGGGAGGCCATTTTCAGCCTCCCAGAGGCCCGAGGGAACCCTCCAGACCCTGGGGAAGGTAAAAGACAGCCAGGGGTGGGATTCTACAGGTTCGCACCTAGAATATTTCTCCCTTGCAGTGTCCCAGAGTCATGCAATCCCCTTTTGCAGGGAGTCTTCAAACCTGACAGCTTTAAGACTTGTGGACTTCAACTCCCAGTATTGATCCTCCAGTCATGTTAGCTCGGGAATTCTGGGAGTTGAAGTCCACAAGTCTTAAAGCTGCCAAATTTGAAGACCCTTGCCCTTTTGTGACCATCTGACAAGCAAAGTCAATAGGGGAGCGAGGCAGCCATTTCTAAGCAACACTGTTACGTGAACCGTGCTCCATTTTATGACCTTGCTTGCCACGGTTGTTAAGTGAATCGCTGTAGTTGTTAAGTTAGGAACATGATGTTAAGCGAATCTGGACTTCTCCATTGTCTTTGCTTGTCAGAAGGTGGCAAAAGGGGATTGTACCCCAGGACACTGCAACGATCGTAACAATGAACCAGTTGCCAAGGGTCTGAAGTTTGATCACATGACCACAGCGGTGCTGCAATGGTGGTATGTCATAAGTCACTTTTTTCAGTGCCATTGTAACTTTGAACGGTCACTAAATGAATAGTTGTAAATTGAGGACTACCTGTAGCTATTTCTAACAGACAGGAAGCAGGAGGTGAAGCTAGGCAGAATCACACCTGATACCTGTACAATTAGCACAGTGCCCCCCCCCCAAGGCTAGGCGCTTTCTCCACCTCTCTTCTCCCTATATACCAATGACTGCATCTCAAAGAATCCATCTGTTAAAATACTGAAATTTGCAGATGACACAGCAGTGATTGGTCTCATTCAAGACAACGACAAATCCGCACATAGACAGGAGGTTGTATAACTTGCCTTGTGGTGTAACCGGAACAATCTGGAACTGAACACACTCAAAACTATAGAAATGGTGGTAGACTTTAGAAGAAACCCTCCCATACTACTACCTCTTACAAACACCTCTTACAACACAGTATCAACAGTAGAGACCTTCAAATTTCTAGGTTCTATTATATCACATGACCGAAAATGGACACCTAACATCAAAAACTTCATCAAAAAAGCACAACAAAGAATGTTCTTTCTGCGCCAACTCAGAAAGCTCAAACTGCCCAAGGAGCTGCTGATAGAGTTCTACAGAGGAATGATTGAGTCTCTCATCTGCACCTCTATAACTGTCTGGTTTGGCTCTGCAACCCAACAAGACAGACACAGACTTCAGAGGATAATTCGGGAAATAATAATGCAGGAAAAACAATTACTAACAACCTGCCTTCCATGGAGGACCTGTATACTGCACGAGTCAAAAAGAGGGCTGTGAAAATATTTACAGACCCCTCACATCCCAGACATAAACTGTTTCAACTCCTTCCCTCAAAATGACGCTATAGAGCACTGTACACCAGAACAATTAGACACAAGAACAGTTTTTCCCCGAACGCCATCACTCTGCTAAACAAATAATTCCCTCAACACTGTCCAACTATTTACAAAGTCTGCACTACTATTACTATTAATATTCTCATCACTCCTTATCGCCCATCCTCTCCCACTTGTGACTGTAAGACTGTAACTTTGTCGCTTGTATCCTTACTATTTATATTGACTGTTTTCTAGTATGATTTGATTGCTTATTGTACCCTATGACTATTAAGTGTCGTACCTTATGATTCTTGATGAATTTATCTTTTATTTTATGTACACTGAGAGCATTTGCACAAAGACAAATTCCTTGTGTGTCCAATCACACTTGGCCAATAAAAATCCTATTCTATTCTATTTAGCCAATATGTTTTCTTAACTTTCAAAAGTTTTCAACATCGAAAAGATGATGAATGGCAGATGGAAAGGCAAAGATTTTTCTTAGGTGTCTTTTACCTGGCAATTACTTTCAGTTCCCTAATTCATCCAAGGCTCCAATAAATAAAATAATTTATTTAAACAGAAGCTGTCACCATAATAGGGCAGGTTTTAAGGTTTAATTCAGTTTCCGATACAAAGGGATGGTTTTGCCAATATTCTTTCCCTTTTCCTTTTTACTTAATAAGTTCATTTTACTGCCCTGAAATTTGGTATCTCTGGTATTAGTGTATAAAGTATTGTTATTTAGTTTAATGTCAAGTGGGGGATTAAGATTTTGAATTAATAACAAACTACAGGAACAGTTAATCTCCACAATAAGACAGATGCTGTTCCACCGTTATAAATCTAAACCAAAATGAAATAATAGGGATGTTTCATGGATTAGATCCACTCAACTTGCATTATAAACACTTATAGTACATACTTTGGCCTGGAAAGAAAACTTGGGGTGGTTTTATAAACTTTGCAAAACAAATCAAATCAAACTTCCAACATTCTAAATGAAGAATTAATTTAGGCTTCTGTATCAGAATACTTCCATATAAATGTGGAAGATAGCAATGTTTTTAACGTATTGTTTTTAATCAACAAAAATAAAATGTAAAACAGAAAAAAAGAGAAAAATGAACATCCAACACTAATAGTGAAAAGAAGTGGGGAAAAAGGCTTGTGTACAAAAAATGGAAAAAGAAAAAAATATCAAATAGGTGTAACTTTAAAGATAAAAATCCACCCCGGTTGGATGCTGACAAATAAAGAAAGAAAGAACTAATAGGTTTTCCTTGCCTTACCTCTCAGGTATAACAATAGTTATTCCCATCCATATTTAACAAAAATGTTGTATTAAATAAATACTGTAAATATTCCAGCTATGGAAATCTGTCTAATCTAATTGACCCCACATCTGATCATAATGGAAGATAACATTGTTATTCTGGAATTAATAATAACAATACATCAGTCAACTGAAAAAAGCAGTCTCACTTGGAACAGTTTACTTCCTGTGATGATACCTTTAACACCATCAAGCATCAACATCTGCCTATCCCAGGTCCTTGAACTCAGTAACTGGATAAAAAATGCCAAATCCAGTCTGAACATCTGGCTGATTGTGTGATGAACCAATACTGTCACCTTCCATTATGACATCTTCACAATGTTTGCTGCAATAACACACACACACCCATATCAAGTACTCCTTCGCATACCGTTCTGGACAAATGGCTGTCCAATCTAGTAATTAAACCTTAAAAGCCTGCCCTATAATGGTAATAGTTTCTGCTTAGATAAATTATTTTAAATTTATTTTCAACGTTCACCTGCATTTAAAAGACAACGGCCACTCTTTTGAAGACAGCAAAGACCTCATTTTGGACAGAGAGGACCACTGGTTTGAAAGAGGGGTCAAAGAGGCCATCTATCTCCAAACTGAACAGCCTTACCTCAACAGAGGGGGAGAGATACAACATCATCTATCTCCAGTCTAAAACACGGTCTTTTCAGCAGTTCCAAGAAGGCTCCATACCATTTGCACTACAGGTAGTCCTTGACTTATAACAGTTCATTTAGTGACTGTTCAAATTTACAACGACACTGAAAAACAGGACTAGGGTAGCATCACCAGGGTAGCATCCCCATGATCACATGATCAAAATTGAGATGCTTGGCAACTGGTTCATACTTATAACGGTTGCAATGTCCCAGGGTCATGTGATCCCTTTTTGCGTCCTTTTGACAGGCAAAGCCAATGGGGAAGCCAGACTCACTTAACAACTGCAATGATTCACTTAACAACTATGGAAATGTCATAAAGTGAGGTAAAATTCACTAAACAAATGTTTCATTTAGCAACATACATTTTGGGCTCAGTTGTGGCCGTAACCCAAGTACTACCTGTACTCAGGTGACCCTGAGGACACAGATAAGCCTCCAAGTGGCCTCAATGGCTCTCTAAAAAAGATGCAAATGACCAGCTGTCTGCAAGGAATACAAATCCTTCCACTCCCCACCATCCAGTCAGAGCTGAAGAAGCTTCTTGGATGAGAAGCAAAACATCTTCAAAGAAAAAAAACAGTGTGGGAAGGCAACCCATACACCCCTCCTTGAAGAATGAAATATTTTGAGGAATATTTTTTTTTTAAAGGCAGGATAAAATATTTCCCCTAAAAGAGAAATTAAAAAAAAAAAATCTTAAGAGAGACAGAAACTCAGAGCTCCAGAACTCAGTATCTGCCTCCCTTAAGATTTTGTTATTTCTCTTTTAAGGAAAATATTTTGTCCTGCCTTTTTTTAAATATTCCTCAAAATACTTCTTCTAGGACTGGAGGGGGAGAGTGTTGGCTTCTCACACCAGAAAGTCCTGTTGCCTCTTGAGGGGGAAAAAAGCACTTTAGGGGGCAGCTGAGATGCTAAGAGCGGATCCTCAGCCATTGATACTGGAGGCCCGCACGGACGCCAGGGGGCGCTGGGCGTCCGCACGGGCCTCGGCGGCGGCCATGGGCGAAGCGGAGAGCTCGGCTGGGGCAGCGGAGGTGAAGCCCCCCTGCTCTGGCCTGGGCCCTGGGCCTGCTCCGCCCGCGATGGAGCCCGGGTCTCAAGCGTCGTCGGAGGACGCGGCGGCTGCGGCGGCCGCTATCGCTTCGGCCGCGATGTCAGCCACATCGGCGGCTCCTCCGCCGCCGCCTCCTCCGCCGCTGCTGCCCGTGCCGGTGGTGTGGAGTCCCGAAGTGGAGGTGTGCCTCTTCCATGCCATGCTGGGCCACAAGCCCGTCGGTGAGTGCTTTGGGGGGGCGCGGGGGGGTGGAGGGAGTGATAAAAGCAGGCCGCAGGTCGAGCCTCGGCCTCGCGTAGCGGCGCCAACCGAGGCGAGGCGCGAGAAGGCGGGCGGGATTCTTAACGGCAGCGCGGGGTCTGGGCCGGCCACTTTCCGCCCTGCACTTCGTTTCCAAACTGGCTTAGTTTCACTCGGATTGCCGTTATCGCGGCCTTTTAGGGTTGGAGGGCAGAAGAATTTAATTTCTCAGGCTGTAGGGGTGAAAAAAGGGGTATTTGCCCCGAAAATGAAAGCATCTTTTTTTTTTTGTTTCATTCCGGGATAAATTCCAGGGTGGCCAGCTGTCTTTGAAACCTGAAGTAGCTGAGCTGGTTCTGATTATTATTGGTTATTGTTGGATGGGAGACCACCAGGAGAGCCCAGGCCCAAGCTCAGTTCAGGAGACTCCCTCAAAAATGGAGGTCCGGTAGAAGAAGCTTTCTCTTTTTTAGATTAAATTGAGAGGAAAGTCAATAATAATGGAAAGTATTGGAGATTGGAGCCCTCATTTTTAAGAAAACAGACCAGGAGCTTGAAACTAGATCTGTTCCATTAATATTGAGAAAAATATTGTCATTACATGATCACTACTAATAAACATTAATTTAGTAATAGTATTGCTCAAACTAGCTGTAACCAGACAACACACTGTTTATCCAGACATTGAAATTGTTGCTCTTTCTTTTTATAGTAATATATATATATATGAAACTAGACCTGTTCCCTCAAAAATTCACAAACCGCAAAATAGTGCTAATTCTTGCAAGCAGAATCAGGTTGAATTTGGGTCATTTGATGTAGTTTCCCTTTATTCTGTCTTGATTGTATATTGGCTCTTTACAAGAGAGTAGAACTTTGGCCAAGAAGACCTTGGAATCTAAATTATTTGTGATTTTTTTTTCTCCCATCAGGTTTTGCTTTCCTTGATTACAACCTAGAGAATTTTTTTCTCTTGTCTCCATATTAAGTTTGACATAAGTAGTGTGATCTGGTACTTTGTGAATAAGTTCACAGAGGCAGAAATGGTTGGATTTTGTTAACCCTCATTGGCCCAACATACCCACTTGTCCTTGATGGATAAAGCATGCCATTTTTGCAAAAGTTTCCCAGTTTAACTCTCCCCAATGCACCTCTTACTCCCTGCAGCCAAATCTATTTGACCAGTTGTATTCTAGATCCACTGTGGAGTTGTAAATTTTTAAACTAGATATCTTTTTTTGGGTGAGGGGGAAGAGAGGTTTGTACTGCAGCATTTATGAAATAACTTGTGGCCTCAGCAGGCACCTTGCCTGGAATTGGAAGTTAAACCTGCTGAGGCCACAAGTTACTTTATAAATACAACTGGTTCATTTAGTGACCATTTAAACTTAACAGCAGCTTGTGACCATTGACATGATAATTTTTTGACATGATAACTTTTGCAGCATTCCCCACCCCCATGGTCACGTGATCAAAATTCAGATGCTTGGCAACTGACTTGTATTTATTATGGTTGCAATGTTCTGGTGTCATGGGATCCCTTTTGCCATTTTCTGACAAGCAAAGTCAAAGGGGAAGTCAGATTCACTTAATAACCATATTACTAATATAATTACTGCAGCAATTAACTTATCTCTGGCAAGAAATGTTGTAAAATGAGGCAAAAGTCACTTAATCGCCTTGCCTAGCAACAGAAATTTTGGGTTCGATTGTGGTCATAATTTGAGGACTACCTGAATTAGAGACTTCCAAGGAATGCCAATCATGCAGACTAGACTGGGTTTTTTTTTTTAAATTAAACTGCTTCTATATCATTTCCAAAGAGAATCATAGATGTGCCCAATAAATCAGTATTTCTCAACCATGACAACTTTAAGATGTGTGTTGAATTCCCAGAATTCCCCATGCTGGGTTGAAGTCCACACCTCTTATATGTTGTCAAGGTTCAGAAACACTGCATAAGCCATCAGAAGTCAAGTGTGATACAAAGAAGTCTTTCTTTTTGTGTTAGCTTTTCTTTTTTCCCCCCTGTCCACCGTTCTCACTCTTTCTTTCCCCTTCAGGTGTGAATCGCCATTTTCATATGATCTGTATCCGAGATAAATTTAGTCAGAATATTGGGAGGCAAATTTCTTCCAAAGTAATCTGGGATCACTTGAGCACGATGTATGACATGCAGGCACTGGTAAGTGTTGACAGGTGAACAACATAGGTCGGTGCCTCTGCTGACTTACAGCAATGAGGGCTGGCCATAGAAAGTGCCTGCTCTGCAACCCAAGTCAGGTGGAGAAATGTTGATAGTTGGTTCTTTCAGAGAGGAAACCATTGCTGGGTGGTCCTTTCTATCCCCCATGCTCCATTTTGCACCAGAGCTGCAGTTGCGTGCAGACAAAAAGATCCCACATGGGCTATTTTTCAGTCTTTGGAACTCCTGACTCCTGAGGCTGATCATAATATCGAAGAAATCATGTTGGGTGCAGAGCACCCTCTTGGAAATACATGCTAAAATCAGTAACGGTGAACCTTTTGGGCTCAGGGTGTCAAAAATTCAGAGAAAGCCAAACTTGACTCTGTTGACATGATAACCCATCCAAGGAAAGAAAAAAAATTATTTTTTAAAAAAAGATTACAGCCCAAATATGTGTGGTGCTATATATTATGTAAATAAATGTCAAATAATTAACAAAAATGAAATACTAGTAAAACAAACTCATTTTCAGAAGCTCCGAAGGCTGCATAATTTCAGATCCCATTCTTGCCCAGCCTCCAAAAGTCACTAGAGAACTGGATGTACACCCATTTCAACTGGATGTACTTTTACTTTTGGGGTGTTGGTACACTGGTATGTCACCCAAAACATGTCACCTTTGAGGTGTGTGCCATACGTTCGCCATCTTTGTGCTAGATGTTAAACATAGGTGTAAGAACCAGTGCAGTTCAGGGGTTGAACTCCAGATAGGGAGAGCCAGATTGCAGTCCTCCCTTTGGATCACTTGGGGCTAGTCACTGGATTGGGAAAACATCTGTCTTTCCACCCTTATTGGACAAAGAGGGTAGATTATGGCCTCAACCTTCAATAAAGAGATCTTTATCCTACAGTGAATTGATTTGGGTTGATACAATATATAATGTTAAGTTTTATATCATGCACCCATTTATCCTTTCATCTTATGCTCCCTTATTAAATATCTGTCCTGGAATACCATATTATGCCTGCAGAAAGCTCTGTAGGTATTATAATATTGTGATCAGATAAAAAAGTGCAGAAATTGAGAACTGAAAAGACATCACAAGATCTAAAATTCATCTGAGAAGGCGATGCTTTTCGTTCTAGTTAATACCTTTCTTGTGCACATGCCATATATCTGTAGCACCCTTTTAGGGATTATATGTGTGAGAAAGATGCACAAATTGTAACGATTGCTGTTTATTGTATATTTTCATTTTTAAAGGAAATCTTACTTGTTGATGTTCAGTATCATAAGCAACAATAATACCATGCAGAATAATTCAATTTTGTACAGCATGATTTATGGTAGCATAGAGTGCAGTCATAAAATAAAAACGAATACATAAGAGAATAATGTAAATGCTGCATCAAACATCAACACATACAAGCTTTAAAAAACAACTACTGAGAAGTGTTGATCTTATGTGCTAAACGAGTTTAGAGGTCAGGAAAAAAAAAGGAAGGGCTAGAAACAAAATAGGAGCTCTTTCAAAATATTATGCCCTAATTGCAAAATTTTGTGTATGTTTATTTGGAAAAAAAACTCAAGGTTGGCATAATCAGTTTAATTAATTTTGTTTTTCTTTTTAAGCATGAGTCTGAGATTCTTCCTTTCCCCAACTCAGAAAAAAACTTCATCCTCCCTGAAGAAATTATTCAAGAAGTAAAAGAAGGTGAGACATTTGGATGTATGGTACATTTCTTGCAAACAAAATCTTACAGTAAAAGTCTGTATAAAATGGCAGCCTAAGCCATTACACTAGACCAGGGGTGTCTAACCTTGGCAACTTTAAGACTTGTGGACTTCAGCAAAGCTGGCTGAGGAATTCTGGGAGTTGAAGTCCACAAGTCTTAAAGTTGCCAAGGTTGGACACCCCTGCACTAGATGATATATTGATATAGTGCTCAAACGGCCAGAATTCGGCATGAGGTAGTCCTCAACTTACAACCATAATTTTTAAAGCAAGCTGTGATGTCTTTTTGAAAGTTATCCAAAAATAGCACCGGTTTACAAGGATAGCGCAGCTTGCTTTTGGAAGCTGTTTTCTGCTCTCCTCCAAATTGGCATCCCAGTGATAGCACAGGTAAAGCTTCCAAACCAAGATGAAGTGGCTTCCTAAACCTATGTTGTTTCCAGAAAATTTGGAAACCTGATCTAGGTTTGGAGCCTTCCAGATGGATGAATATCAGTTGCCAGAATTTTTAGCAGTGACCATGCCGAGGTTAAGGAATGCTACTAAATTCTTTCCTGAAAGCAGAGCATAGCTCACGTTTTCATGAAGGAAGAAAGCAAATCTCTCTCTTTGAGGGTGCTATTCATTTTTGGTGGAAATGGACTGATTACAATGAATCCTATATGTTCCCTTCAATGCTTTTTGGATAGAAAAATATATTTTGAAAGCTGTTGAAATGGGGAAAGGCAACAACTTCAAGAGCACAGAGAAATTTGCCAAAATGATAAAATTTGGATTTAAGTCATGATGTCATCCATTTTAGAGATGGAATAGGAATGTCCTCTCTTTTGCTCCAAACAAAAGAGGTTTTAGGACCGTACCAGTTGAATGTAAACTGAAAAAAATATGCATATTTTTGGTACCATTTGCTGCCCTGAAATTATTGCTCATTTCCTGCTTCTTTGTTTTGGAGGCTGTCAGTTTGGTTTGGTTTTTTCCCTAACCCGTACTTCAAAAAAAATATATATATCCTACTTCTAGATGATTTGGTGGCAGCAGGAGCTGGCAGTGAAAAATCCTGTTGCCCCAAAACTCACTTGGTGACCTCCTCAAGATCAGCTGAAGGAAGAAAGACATTGAAATTCCCTATTTGCCCACTGATCTGCTTCTCATTCTTCACATAGGTAAAGTGATGATTGAAGACGATGTGAAGGAAGAAATAAAAGAAGAGATGGAAGCGCACTCAGCCGCTGAAGAAGGTATTTTGATATGTAAAAGACAAGTCTTCAGTAAGAAAAGGATTATCCCTTATTAGATCTCACATGTGCAGATCATGAAAAAATTGTTTTAGAAAGTAAACTGTTTTAGAAGAGTTGAAAGAGATCGTGCGTTGTTAAGAGGTGGGAAACTGCATGTTGCAATGCATTTCAACCTTGACAACATGACAAGAGATTAGACAACCATTTGTCTGCAATGATATAGGGCAGAGGTCTCCAAACTTGGCAACTTTAAGACTTGTAGACTTCAACTCCCAGAATTCTTCTGGCAGCATAGCAGGCTGGAGAATTCTGGGAGTTGAAGTCCACAAGTCTTAAAGTTGCCAAGTTTGGGGACCCCTGATATAGGGTGTCCTGTATGAGCAGTGGGTTGAACTCCAAAGTCCCTTCCAACTCTGTTAATTCTGTTGAACTTAAGATAGGTGGACTTCAATTCCCAGAATTCCTCAAAACTTATTCATGAGATCTCATTATAGAGTCCACGTTCCAATGGTCAGTCTTCTTCTGAAGTCATGTGACCAAACATCAGACACTCAACAACAGGGCTTGCATTTATGACAATGTCCTGCAGTCATGACCACATTTTAGGGCAGTTTTGCTGAAAACCAGCATTCCCTGTTTTTTCAGCAAAAGCCATGTCCATGGCACATCATTGGTTTGCTTAACGACCACGGTGATTTGCTTAACAACTGCCACAAAAGTGGCGAAACTGGGTCAGTCACATGATCAAACCATTCTCCGAACCATTTCCAGATACGACAGTAATGGGCCAGCTCCATTATATTTGTATCTTGAGGTCTACTTCTAGTTATTAAATAGAAAACTGACCATTTAGGTCCATGAAGAATCGGATAAAATCAGATGGGTGGAAATGGATCAAGGAAAGAAACAACCTGGAATTAAGGAGAAACTTACTGACAGTGAGGACAATTAACCGGAGGAACAGCTTCCCTTCAGACGTTGTAGAGTCTTCATCACTGGAAGTTTTTAAGAAGAGACTGGACATCCACCTGTTTGAAATGATATAGGGCCGTGATGGTGAACTTATGGCAAAGGTGCCATAGGTGGCACACAGAGCCATTTGTGCAGACACGCAGAGCCCCATCAAAATTGACCTGTGCGTGTGCGCACCTCCCAGCTGATTTTCGGCACGTTTGAAGCCGTTTTCGCCCTCCTGGAGGCTCAAGGGAAGCTCGGCAGCCTGAAAAACGGGCCCGTTTTCAGGCTCCAGAGGCCCTCCGGAGGCTGAAAACGGGCACTTCCGGTATTTCCAGAAGGCCCGTTTTTCAGCCTCCCGAGACTGCAGAGGCTTCCCTCAAGCCTCCGGGAGGGCGAAAACGGCCTCAACTGGCCCCCGGAAATCAGCTGGGAGGCACGCGCATGCGCAGTGCAGGTAAGGGGATGGGCGGGGGTGTTGCGTGTGCATGCGCGGGGGGGGCGGGGCGCATTTCATTGTGAGTGCCAGCACACACACGTTTTCAGCACACCACAACAAAAAGGTTCGCCATCACTGTTATAGGGTCTCCTGCTATAGGGTTGGACTAGAAGACCCCCCAGGGTCCCTTCCAGCTGTATTCTGATTGATTGGTTGAAATCGTGGATAGAATTGGCCTACTTTTAAGCTACGGATAGATTTTGTTAATGTATATTTCTTATCAAAAGGAAAGAAATGCATCTAAATTCATTGCAGCCTTGCTCTTTTTGGGGGGAACGGAGATGTGACTTAAATCATGGTTGTCATCATTGTGTTTCAGTATATGCTTCTCTGGGGAGCCTGGCAAAGGCCACCGAGAAACCCAGCAGCAAAGAGAAGGAGCGAAGTTCCTCAGAGTCTGGATCCAAAGAAGGAGGAGATAAGAGGAAGCGGAACAGAGTCACTGAGAAGGTCTTAAATGCAAACAGCAACCCGTCCAGTCCCAGCGCAGCCAAAAGGCGCAGGACATAAAAGATGGCGGAACCACCCTGGAGCGGATCCTGGGGGGAAACTGTAGGTCCTAGTTAGCCCATCATCAGTGTTGAATGGGGGAGACAAAGTGAGATAAACTGGTCATCACCCCTCTCGAAGGAAGCAAAGAAAGAAAGCTTTGGCCTCCAAATTTTAGGAATAGAGGGAGTCTTTACAGCAGATGCCAAACAAGTCCAACGTTTCTTCTCGCTGTCAGATGCAAACTTACTACTTAGTCTCATAACTGGATCTGTGGGAACCAAGGAGCATCGGTTTTTGATTTAATTTTTTTAGAGGCTTCTGTGTTTTGAACTGGAGCTGCTCACCTTGGCGACCGCAGCACAATTCTCGATAAGCAGAATCGGAACTTGCCAAAAACAACTTGAGTTTAATCACCCTGGGATCAGTCAGGCGTGTTGCCTGGTAACAGAAGAGAGTTCTCTGTATATTTGTATATATGTATGTGGGGTTTTTTTTTTTTTAATTCATTATTTAATTTACTGACCGTTTTTAAAGAAGTATTTTTTTGCAGAAATTCTTAAATAGAGGTTCGGGTAACTTTGCTATTTAAGCTATTTTGGAAGTAGGTTTAGGTTTTTACTTGAAAATGTGCTGAGTTTATACGCACAGGTGTTAAAAGCTGAACTCTCTTAGTGTTTCTGTGTGATCCGATAGTAAAATTTCCTTCTCTGAATTAGGGAGGATTTAGAAAACACCTTTTGTAAGAAAAACAGTAACAGTTACAGTAACATTCAACATTCTGTTTGAATAAATTTCTGCTGTTCGATAAAATGGGTTCCAGTCCCTTTCATGTTTCATTCGAACCCTTTACATTTTACAAGCCTACATGAAGTCAGGTTCCTTTCACCTAGTTCTAAGAAAAGCTCAGTTTATGGTCAGCTTTAATTCTTGCGAGCAGCCGGTGATTTTTCTCCACCCTTTAGGCCCGTGGTGGTGAACCTACGGCGCATGTGCCAGAGACGGCATGCAGAGCCCTCTCTGGGCAGGTGAGCCGTCGCCCTGGCTCAGCTCTGCCACGCATGTGCGCGCGCCTCCTGCCGGCCAAGCTTCACCTCTCTACCACGCATGCATGGGGGGGGGGGGGACATGCACATGTGGGGGGAAATACTAGAAGTGACGAAATGGGCCTGCAGAAGCCTTCCTGAAGCCTCTGGGAAGCCGAAAAAGGCCTCAAACCGCCCCAAAATCAGCTGTGAGGTGCAGTACAGGTAAGTATGCGTAGGGGTCCTGGGAGGGCGCGCACATTGCCTTCTGGGTGCTGACATGTGAGTGTAACCATGCAAGCGCGCACACTATTTTTGGCACAGGAGCACAAAAAGGTTAGCCACCGGTGGCTTTGTGTGTGTGTGTGTGTACATGTAGTCCTTAACCTACAACCACGATTGAGCCCAAAATTCCTCTTGCTAATCGAGAGAGTTATTGAGTTTTGCTCCATTTTATGACTTTGCCACAGTTGTTAAGTGAATCCCTGCAGTTTTTAAGTTTGTAACAGGGTTGTTAAGTGAATCTGGCTTCCCCATTGGCTTTGCTTGTCAGAAGGTCACACAAGGGGATTACATGACCCTGGGACACTGCAACTGTCACAAATACGAGTCAGTTGCCAGGCAGCTGAATTTCAATCGCGTGGCCATGGGGATAACTGCAAGGGTTGTAAGTGTGAACAACTTCATCATAAGTCACTTTTTTTTCAGTGTCGTAACTTTGGTCATTAAACGAACAGTTGTAAGTCGACTTATCTGTGCTTTGTGCCATTTTCTTATTCTTCAGCTGGGAAATAATAAAGATATACCCGTAGTTGCAATCTCCTCGCATATAAATAGTCCTCGAGTTACAACCACAATGGAGCCCAAAATATGTTTTGCTGAGTGAAACATTAAGTAAGTTTGCCCCATTTTACAAATTTTCTTGCCATGGAGGTTAAGTGAATCATTGCATTTTTTTAAAGTTAGCAACACTTTAAAATAGTGTTAAGTGAATCTGGCTTCACTCCATTGACTTAGCTTATCAGAAGGTCACAAAAGGGGATCACGTGACCCCAGGGACACTGCAGCCGTCATAAATATGAGTCAGTTGCCAAGCATCCGAATGTAAATCACATAACCACGGGGATACTGCAGCGGTCGTAAGTGTGAAAAAAATAGTCACAAGTCCCTCTTTTTTCAGTGCCACAGTCACTAAATGAACTGTTGCAAGTTGAGGACCACCTTCATCTGTGGGTAAATCTCCATAGCCAAATCGGCTTAATGTAAATGGTTTTTTACCCAACACACCTCAGATAAAGTGGCCATGCAGGCAGAATTAGATACAAATACAGATTAACAGAGATGGAAGGGACCTTATAGGTCATCTAGTCCAACCCGCTCCCCCACCCAAGCAGGAGACCCTGCCTACACCATTTCTGAGAGATTAACAGAGTTGGAAGGGACCTTGTAGGTCATCTAGTCCAACCCCCACCCCACCCAAGCAGGAGACCCTGCCTACACCATTGCTGAGGGATTAACAGAGTTGGAAGGGACCTTGTAGGTCATCTAGTCCAACCCCCACCCCACCCAAGCAAGAGACCCTGCCTACACCATTTCTGACAGATGGCCTTCCAAGTCTCTCCAGTCGAGTTGGCGCCACTCGTTACAGTAAAAGACGATGCCTTCCTTAGCCGATGAGGCGGATGTCGTGTGTGAGTGAATACAGCATTCGCGCGTTCGGCGTAGTTTGGCGAAGGGTTAACGGAGAGGAAGGAGAGCCGCCTCCAGGGGGCGTTGGGAGGGGGGCGGTCTCTGTCAATCAACGCCTCGAGTGGGAAGCAGAGCAGATTAGCCGCTCGCCTTCCCCGCCTCACCCCCGCCTTTCCTTTCTCCGAGCATTCCATTCTGGAACGTCAGAGGATCTCCCAACGTTCGGAAGGAACGTCGGCCGGCCAATCAGCGTGCAAGAAAAGCGACTCGGCTTGCGGTCTGGGGGCGGGGGGGGGGGGAGATTCGAGGCCACCTCCTCCTCCTCCTCCCCCTCGTTTTCCCCCCACGTGCCTTTCACTTTGATCTCGCCGTCGCTTCCTGCTCGCTTTTTTTTTTTCTCTTTCTTCCCTTCCCTTTTTTTTTTCTCTCGTTTCTTTCGCTTTCCTTTCTTCCCTTGCCATCGGGAGAAGCCAAGTCCGGCTCCGGAGCCATGGCGGCTTGGATGAGAGCGGAGAAGGAGAAACACCAAACCGGCGAAAGGGAGGAAGAAGAAGAGGAGAAGGAAGAGGAGGAGGAAGAAGACGAGGAAGAAGACGAGGACGGAGCGGGTGGGCTTTGGGAGTACGATTCCACTTGGGAAGAGGAGGAGGAGGAGGAGGAGGAAGGGCGGCGGGAGAAGAAGACACGGGAACCGGCTTCTCAAGAAGACTCCAAAGCCCGGGAAAAGCACAGCAGCTGGCCGTCCAGCTCCTGGTGGGCCTCCGCTAGCCAGGTGAGAGATTTCTCGGGAACAAAAGGAAGAGCAGGGGGCGATCGCCGTTACGTGCGCTCCACTTGCGCCCTTTCCTAAATTGGGACCCTCAGCCGGCCCGGCATTCGTCCGGCCCCTTCCTCGCCTCGGGATTGGGCTGACAGATAGTCCTCGATTTATGCCCCCCACATCCAGCCCATTGCTTCTGTTGCTAAGGGAGACAGTGGTTCAGCTTATTTGGCCTCCTGCGACCTCTCTCTCCCCCCCCCCCCCCCCCTCCCCCCCTCTCTAACTCTCCCCCTCCCTCCCCCCTCTCTCCCCGGTGGTTTAAAGAGGAATCCTTTTCGGTTGTTTAAGTGAGTCGGCTGGTTGTTAAGCAAATCTGGCTTCCCTCCCTCCTCCCGTTTGACTTTGCTTGTCCGTAGGTCGCCAAAGAGGATCGATCCTGTGAAGCTGGGGCCCTGCCACCGTCATAAATATGAATCAGTTGCCAAGCGTCGTGAGTTTGGATCGTGTGGCCGCGGGGGAGGCTGCCGTGGTTGTCAGTGTGAAAATGGGTCAGAAGTCGGGTTTTTCGGCGCCGTTGTAACTTCGAACCGTCCCTAAGCGAACTGTTGTAAGTCGAGGACCGCCTGTACTGTAACTTGTCCATGGGGCTGCCCTTGAAGAGTAGCCGGGTGCTTCAGCTGGAGAGATGGGGACAGTTAGGTATACAGGTAGTCCTCGACTTACAACGGTTCCTTTAAGTGACTGTTCGAAGTTATAACAGCATTACAAAATGACTTAGGGCTGTTTTTCACACTTACAACCAATGCAGCATCCCTATGATCACATGATTAAAATTCAGACGCTTGGCAACTGACTCATATTTATGACGGTTGCAGCATCCCGGGGGTCAAGTGATCCCCTTTTGTGATCTTCTGACCAGCGAAATCAACAGGGAAGCCAGATTCACTTAACAACCATGTTACTTACTGCAGGGATTCACTTAACAACTGACAAGAAAGGTCGTAGAATGGGGCAGATCTCATTTAACAAATGGCAGATTCACAACAACCATGTTACTAACTTAATACCTGGGGTGATTCATGTAATAACTGTGGCAAGGAAAGTTGTAAAATGGGGCAAAACTCAATAAATGTCTCACTTAACAAAACGGGGCAAAACTCACTTAGCGATAGAAATTTGGGGCTTAGTTCTGGCCATAAATTGAGGACTGCCTATATACAACATTTCTCACATTTAGAAATAATTCAAAACAACAGCAAATAGTCCTAAAACTACTTGGACTCAATCAAAATAATAACAACAACAACCTCGGCAGATACATTTTTATTTTTTTCCTTTCCGTTTCAGACAATTTTGTCCCTTTTCGTGCAAATTCTAAGATTCAGGAAGAAAATCCAGGTTCTGTTTACTCCAGTTTAGGGAAATGGAAAGTAAAACTTGCAAGAAAAATCTAGCCAAGGAGAAACAGAATTTAGTTTTGCCAGATGAGTGAAGAAACGAAACCGAATAAGCTTCCGGCATATTTTAAGAGTCAAGGAAGCTGTAATTGAACCAGTTCAGGCTAGTTCTAAGTGGCAAGCGATGACTTCATTTTCCCCACAATTAGGAAGTAAAAATAAACAAAGTAAAAGTCAATGGCTCTTGGGTAAAAGGTTTGAAATGCTATTGTGTAAGAACTAAGCTGAGAAAAATCACAGGGTCTTCTGCGTTTTTGGCCTCTGTGGGATGCTCTGTCTTAGGGTGAATGCATTTTTTATGATGACTACGATCGTGATTTATCACTTATAGATTTTATGTACACTGAGAGCTTATGCAACGAAGACAAATTCCTTGTATGTCCAATCACATTTGGCCAATAAAGAATTCTATTCTATTCCAATTCCATTCCTATTCTATTTCTATTCTTATTCTAGTCCTTATTTCTATTTGTTCTGTTCTGTTCTATTTCTTATTTCTATTCTATGTATTCTATTTCTATTCTTACTCTATTCCTTATTTCTATTTATTTATTCTGTTCTATTTCTTATTTCTATTCTATGTGTTCTATTTCTATTCTAATTCTTACTCTATTCCTTATTTCTATTCTATTTATTCTGTTCTGTTCTATGTATTCTATTCTTATTCTGTTCCTTATTTCTATTCTATTTTGTCTGTTCTATTCTTCTATTTCTTATTTCTATTTTATTTATTCTGTTCTATTATATTCTACTTATTCTGTTCTATGTTTAGGGGACACGGTGGCTCAGTGGCTAAGTCGCTGAGTTTGTTGATCAGAAAGGTCAGCAGTTCACCGGTTCGAATCCCCTAGCGTTGTGTTAATGGAGTGAGCTCCTGTTCCTTGTCCCAGCTTCTGCCAACCTAACAGTTCAAAAGCATGTAAAAAAATGCAAGTAGAAAACTAGGGACCCCTTTGGTGGGAAGGGAACAGCATTCTGCATACCTTTGGCGTTTAGTCATGCCAGCCACATGATCATGGAGGCGTCTTTGGACAGCGCTAGCTCTTCGGCTTTGTAACGGAGATGAGCACCGCCCCCTAGAGCCAGAAACGATTAGCATATATGTGCATGGGGAACTTTTGCCCTTTACCTTATTCTATGTTTATTTTTAAAAGTGTGTTTTCTCTTCAGGAGTGGCAAAGACCAGGCCGTTCAACAGGAGGAGTTAAAAAATGTAAGGTAGGAAAATTCTCGTCCGGGATGAGAGAGGCATGATTTTTAACCATTCCTGCTGACCGCTGGAAGTTTACTTCTCATATTCAGAAACCAAAGATGTGGACAAAATCATAAAGAATACACGGTTTGTTGGAATACAGGTAGTCCTCGTCTTATGACCACAGTTGGGCCCAGAATTTTCCATTGTTAAGCCAGGTGGTTGTTGAGTGAGTCACACCCTGATTTTAAAACACTTTTGCCATGGTTATTAAACTAATCGCTATGGCTGTTAAGTGTGGTCTTTAAGCAAATCCAGTTTCCCTCATTGATTGCTTGTCGGAAGCTGGCTGGGAACATCGTAAATGGTGATGATATGGCCCCTGTAATGGTCGTAAATACAGGTAGTCCTCGACTTAACAGCAGTTCGTTTAGTGACCGTTCAAAGTTACAGCGGCGCTACAAAAAAGTGACCATTTTTCACACGAGCATTGCAGTATCCCAATGGCCACATAATCAAAATTCAGCAACTGGCTCATATTTACGATGGCTGCAGTGTCCTGGGGTCATGTGATCCCCTTTTACGACCTTCTGACAAGCAAGGTCAATGGGGAAGCCAGATTCAGTAAGCAGTCTTGCTAGTAACTTAACAGCTGCAGTGATTCACTTAAGAACGCTGTCAAGAAAGGTTGTAACATGGGGCAAAACTCACTTAACAAATGTCTCGCTTAACAACAGATACTCTGGGCTCAATTGTGGTCATACGTCAAGGATTACCTCTACAGTTGGATTTACCAAGTGCCTAAAGTTTGCTCACGTGACCATGGGGATGCTTCAACGGTCGTAAGGGTAAGGACCAGTTGTAAGTCTTTGTTTCCAGTATTATCGTAACATTGAATGGTTGTTAAATGAATGGTAAGTCAAGGACTACTTGTATAACCTCTTTGCAGCCTTGACCAACAAAAATGAACTCTTTTACAGCATACTAGATGATAACCCAGCGTTGCCTGGGTATTTATTTATCCTAATCCTGTATTAGGCCAGAAAGCCCTGATTTTGGTGATCTTGAACAAATGTAATTTCCAATGTTGGATTATCCGCATTACCAGAGAGAGTCCCCTTGTGGAGTACTGTGAAAGTTGTTACCGCAGCAACTCCACAGCGCTGTACAGTAGTAGCCATTTTAAGGCAGTACGGTAGAAGCCATTTTAAGGCACAACAGGCTGTATCTTAACAAAAAACACACCACGACAAGGGTTAGGAATGTTTTACTCCCACAGTATTTGTTTCCAGAGAGTAAGTAATCTGTGTACCAAGTTTGGTTAAAATTGCTTGAGGTGTTCTAGAGTTATGCTGGAACACACACACACACACACACACATATAAAATTAAAAAATAATATAATATAAAGATAGATGATGGATAGTGGGCTAAATGAAGCATATGATAAATATTCAAATTAATGACATATATCAGGGGTGTCAAACTCAAGGCCTGTGGGATGCTTAAATCTGGCCCATGGTGCCGGCCTGGAAATAGCGAAAGGACTGGTCTGTGTTTCCTCTAGCAGCCAAAATGGGGCGTGCGGGCGAAACGGGATGTGAGGGGACCACACACACCTCCCCATGCCTCATTTTGGTTGGCAGGGTGCTACAAGAGGCCTCTGTCCCCTCTCTCCCCCACCCCCCAGTCGGCCCGCGGAGGAGGACTACAATGTTGATCCAGCCCTCAAAGAAATCCAGTTTAGCACTCCTGACATACCGGTTTTTGAGTACACAGTGCATGTAAATGCCACACTGAGCTAAGGTGAACTAAAACAACAATGTGCCGAAAACCAGGAAAAAAAAAATCACATTATGACCCATGAATAAAAGTGACAAAAATTATGACAAGACCTTCTATTACCAAAGCTTCCCTCAAACAATTCAAATCAATTCAATGCATTGTTTATCTAAACTTGAAACTATATTCTGTGCAAAGATTGATGAAAACCAGCTGAGCTGGAATTCTTAATGCTTTTGCAAAACGATGTACAAGACATTAGGTTGAGTATCCATTGTATCGTTCATGAAGTCCTTTATTCCATCGTGAGTACTAAAAGAGGTCATTCGTTGGTCATGCGTGCAAAGCGGTCATATTTTGATGAAACATGAATGCTTTCTGAATACATTCACCCTTGGTTTCTGAATATCCAAAATATTTCTCCCACAATCAAGCATGTAAGAATAGACAATAGGTGTAGTGTTTTTCAACCTTAGCAATTTGGAGATGCATGGCTGGCTGGGGAATTCTGGGAGTTGAAGTCCATGCGTCTTCAAATGGCCAAGGTTGAGAAACACTGCTGAAGAGCAAAAGATACAACCTGCAAAGGCTCCAAAGTCATGAAGTTGCTATGCCTGCAGTGTTCAATGTCCTCTCTTCGTCCAGCTAGTCCAGTAATCTGGCATGGCCCAGAGTTCTGTTGGGACTGAACTGCCCAACCAACATGGCTTGTGATGACCTGGGGCATGACACAAAGGCAACACAGTCAGATAAGCAATAAGAGTTCCTTTATTATCTGGCTGGAGAAAAACTCTCCCAGGAACAGCTTTTGACAGTAGAAAATTCAGTCCAAAAGAAGATACACACAAACTGTAACTTAAAATCCAAACAAACCAAACAGAAGTAAGTAGTTTGGCAGGGTAGGAGGAGGAATTTCAAACTTGAAAGCACACAGTTGGGAAGATGCCAGGAACACAAATAAGCCACAACAATGCAACATAAAATCACGTTTGTTCCCAATGGCTTGCTGCACGCAGCTTACCTTTTTTATACACTCTGTTCCCAACTGCAGCTAATGAAGGGAATCAGGGCCCTTTCCTCCCCGTAAGCCACGCAACCCATGTTGCTCTCTTTTCCATTCCTCCCTGCATGCCCTAGGATGAAGAGAGGGTAGGCCTGGGTTTTCCTCTGAATTCCCCCTCCCTTGTTCTACCTCTCCCCTGCTCTGCCTAGCTGGACTTTGCCCTTCCCCAATTTCTTCCACAGCCAACGGAGTCCCACTTCCCGTCAGTTGTTCAGATGGCTCAATTCATCCAACTGATGTTCTGCATCAAGAGTGTGCAAAAGTATAGGCGTGCGTTTAGGCACACCTGGCAGGGAGACTAGACTGGTTTCTGATTTATCACTGAAGTGGCATCTAAACCAGGTTTGATTGCTTGCCCAGTAAGTCTAGAGGGTGCCATCTGATTGGTTGGTTAGCCTTAGGGGATAAGTCACATTCTACACCAGACTTGACAACTTTTAAGATTTGTGGACTTCAATTCCATACGGGCTAGAGAATTCTGGGAATTGAAGTCCACAAATCTTCAAATTGCCAAGGTTGAAGACTCCTAAAAAAAAAAAAAGTATGGATTGCAATGATTCTGGGTATTTTACAAAAAAATATAATTAGTTAACTTGTGAGAGAGAGGGAGAGAGTGGGAGAAAGAGAGAGAAATAGAAATATATAAAAATCGTCAGTCTCTACATGATCTGAGATACAAGATTTGGAGTGCCCTCTTCAAACTGGGATAAAAAGAATCTCAATTCAGCAGCTTTGGTGAGAATATAATTAGAAGGGAAATATTATTTCACCATATTCAGCTTCTAGAATCTAGAGCAATGTGAGGTGACGGCATGTGACTAATCAAAGGAAATTAAAATAAGTCACATTTCCTTTTGTAGACGTTTAAGATTTAGATTTTAAAAATAAAGCTCTTTTATTGTCTTTTTATTAGAGCATAAATAGGCGTAACTGGGTCGCAGCCAGAGATATGCAGAAGTACAGGCGGCATTATCCGGTAAGACTTTCTGTGCATTATGGTTATATTGATTGAGTTTCCATCTGGAGGGGTGTAATAGAAATTTGGGTTAAATTGCCTGTTAATTTTTGTTGTTTTGACCTGATTTTTCCCTGCTTACTGATTACTCACCACCTGAGTTGCAATTATTCAAGTTAGGGGGGTCATAAACTTTTTTTTTTTAAAGCTTGTGTTTGCTTTTTCTGGTACAATTTGAGTATCAGAATAGAGAGAGTCCTTATATTGGGACCTGTGAAGATATTTGGGGTACATAAAAAGGAGTAAGTTGTTAAGAATGGGACAGCAAAGGTTTACGGGTGAAATGGTCCTTAAGAACTCCTGGGTTTAATTGTGAATGGATTGATAATACCCCTATTTGCTTATCATTTCCCTTCCATCTCTCCCTCCCTCTCTCTCTTTTGTCTTCCAGGGATTGGAAGAAAGTGAGGTCACTGAGGAAGACATGTGGAATCTGAGCTTTTACAAAAATGAGATTAATTTTTTGCCCCGGGGTAAGGCTTTTAAAACTGCTTGGTTTTCTGAGGGGAAGGGTGAGGATCATAACTGGATTTCCGTGTTGGCTTTTGACATGGCAATATATTGCATTTAGTTAAAATGCATGCTTGCATTTTTTTTCCCTTGCATGTTCTTCCTGCCTTCCTTCCTTCCTTCCTTCCTTCCTTCCTTCCTTCCTTCCTTCCTTCCTTCCTTCCTTCCTTCCTTCCTTCCTTGCTCTGTCTCTCCCTTCCTTTTTTTCTATTCTGATTCCTTCCCTTCCTTCTCCTTTTCCCCTCTGTTCCTTCTTTCCTCTCTCTCTCTCTTCCTTGCCTCCCTTCTTTCCTTCCTCTCCTCTTGACTTACAACAGTTTGTATAATGACTGTGCGAGGTTACAACATCGCTGGAAAAAGTGACGTGATCGTTTTCATACTTAGCAACCATTACAGCATCCCCATGGTCATGTGATCAAAATTTGGATGCTTGGCAACTGGCATGTACTTATGACGTTCTGAGAACGAAAGACAATGGGGAAGTCAGTTCACTTAACAACCATGTTATTAGCTTAATAACTGCAGTGATTTACTTAACAATAACCAGAAAGGTAATAAAATGGGGCAAAACTGTCTCGCTTAGAAAAATAAATTTTGGTCTAATTGTGGCTGTAAGTTAAGAACCACTTGACCCAGAGATAGAATTCAGAGCATAATTTTCTTTCCGTCTTTCACGCCTGCAGATACATGTACATAATTTTCTTTCTGTAACTAGAAACCAAATTATTAGAAATAATTGCACCTGGCAGTGTTCTCTCCGAGTGTTTGTGGCTCAAGTGAGTTTTGCAAAAGGACTTTTAAAAAAAAAATTCATTTGGACTCCTAAAATCAGCACAGCAGCAGTGGAAAATAATTGCAGTAACGCCAAATTTCCAGGCTAAATTTGCCCTTCTTCAGCGGAAGCATCTTCTAAAGGAGAAATGAGGCCTGGCAGGGCTTCTGAGGTAAATTCCATACCAAGAGTTGTAAAAACCAAGATCTCGTTTGAATTTCTCTCATACAAGTGGTCCTCGACCTACGATCACAGTTGAGCCCAACATTTCTGTTGCTAAGCCAGCCAGTTAAGTGTGTTTTGCCCAGTTTTACGATTTTCTTGCCACCGCTGTTCAGTGAATCACTGCAGTTGTTGAGTTAGTAACGTGGTTGTAAAAGTGAATCTGGCTTACCCATTGACTTTGGTTTGTCAGAAAGTCACAAAAAGACTCTGGATGCTGCAACTGTCATAAAGTTGAACCAGTTGCCAAATGTCTGAATTTTGAGCACGTGCTACAACAATTGTGTTACGGACAGCAATGATTTGTCAGTGTATAAGGATTCATGACTGAAATGGAAATGGCAACAAGTCAGCCAGTGGGAACTGTTTGGTGACTAAGAAACAGGATCAATTGTGAGCCATGTCCGACAGCTTAGGAGCCTGAACGTGGCTTAGCTTAACTGGTTTGTATAAGGCTTCTGTGATTCTGTGCAAATTTTTGCTTCTGTGAATATGACTTCTGGATTCTGAGTTCTGGTTCTGACTTCTGCTGAATGGGTATTCTCATGCCCCTGTTGGAGACTGACTCCGAGGGAGAGGAGGAACAGCCGACAGGGAGTGGAAGTATGACTCAGGAGGCTGGGGAAGGGTAGAGACTGACTGGGCAGTCAGAGGAAGACCCAGGCCCATCCCCTCTCCATCCTAGGGCACAAAGGGAGGAGAGGATAAGGGAGAGACGTGAATGGCGTGGTCTACGGGGGAGGAAAGGGCCTTGATCCTCTTCATGGGCTGCAGCTGTGAGAACTGGTTAAAAGGACAGACATGCATATGGGCCAGTGCTGGAAACAAAGCATGGAAATATCTCTAGTCTGTCGTTCCTCTCAGAGTTTGGTGTCCTTCCCAGTGTGTGTTCCGATATCTGTGGACATTTTCAAGCCCTTATCTTGCCTGGTTGCCTTAATTGCTTCAGTGTGGTTTGTGTTGTTTTTACTCTTTATAATTTATAGGCATTTCCTCCTTATTGTAACTGCTTGTGGGGGAGTTTTTTGTCTCCAATCAAGGATATTTGGAGCTTTGAAGCACAGTGAAGGAATAAAAGGGGCTTCCCCTGTTTTTGTGACTGTGTTTATTTTGTATCCCACCCTGTGTCATCACAGGTATTGTATACATGCATCATACTTTGTATTGTATATAAAGAAGTTTCTTCTATAATGAATGCTGCTGAATTATTTACTTGTGTGATTATTTACTTGTGTGATTGCTGCAAACTCTGACATGATGTACTTAACACCTGTGGCAAGAAAGATCATAAAAAGAGTGCAAAACTCAACTGTCTCACTTTGCAGGTTCAACTGCGGTTGTAAGTTGAGGACTCCCTGTGTCTCCCATTCTGTAACCCATCTTAACGTTTCCTCCTCCTTCCTCCTCCATAATCTTCATATTTGTGCTTTTTTTTTTCTTTACTGTTTCTTTCAAGGTCTGTACATCGAAGATCTCCTTGAGACATGGCAAGATAACTACAGCGTTTTGGAAGAAAACCATTCATATATTCAGTGGTAAAATTATGTACTTTCATTTAAATACATGACGGGGTCCAGAAAAAAAGACTTTAGAAATAAAAATTACTGGAAGCTGTCACGTAGGTTGTACTGCATGTAATTTTTCCCAGCTACAGGTACTTCTCGACTTATGACCAGAATTTCCATTCCTTTTTAAAAAAAAATTATTTTATTAGACAAACATAAACAAGAAGAAAAGAACATTAAAAACAATGAACACGGTGCAATCTTCCTAACCCACATAGTTGACATTGCTAAGTCATATATAAAAATAGTACATATTTACATTCTATATACATAGTATATAATATATCCATATAATCATTTCTTATTATCTTGATCCTTCCTCCTTTCTAACCAACAATAAAACTTATCCCATACTTTGTAATAATCTGATTCATTCTTATTTTTGAATTCTTTTTATCAGTTTGTCCATTTCTGCACACATCCAAATTTATCTCAATTGTTTCTATTTCACTTGGAGTTTCTTTACATTTCCACTGTTGTGCATAGGCCAATCTTGCAGCAGTCATTACATGAATTATTAGGCATATAATATCTTTTTTTGTATTTTCCCACATTAATTCCTAACAAGAAAATTTCAGGTCTGTATTCTATTTTAATCTTACACATCTCTTCTAACCATTTCTGAATTTTCTGCCAAAACTTTTGGGCTTCAAACAGAATTTCCATTCCTAAGCAAGACAGTTGCTAACTGAGTCTCAGACTGATTTTACGATCTTTTTGGCCACAGTCTTTTAAGTGACTTGCATGGTTGTTAAACGAATCTGGCTTCCCTTATTGACTCTGTGTATCAGAAGCCAGACAGAAAACTCGCAAATGGCAATCAACAAAACTCTAGGATATTGCAACCATTGTAAATACATGCTGGCTGTTAAGTGCCCGATCGTTAATCACTTCTGTACCTAAATGCAAGTAGAATATATGAATTTCAGTCTTAGGTTTGTCTGAAGTGGTATAAGGTCTCCAACTTGAACAGGGGGTTGGACTAGAAGACCTCCAAGGTCCCCTTCAACTCTACTTCTGCTAGAGTGTGAGCTCTGGGACACTGCAACCATCATAAATGTGAGTCAGTTGCCAAGTGTGAATTTTGAACACATGACTCCAGGGATGCTGCGAAGGTTGTAAGTGCGAAAAACAGTCATAAGGCTCCTTTTAGTGTGCTTGTAACTTCAAATGGTCACTAAATAAATTGCTAGAAGTCGAGAACCTGTAAAGCTCATTCCAATTGGTGCTTTTTATGTTGCAATATTTTAAAATGTTTTAATGCAAACATTCATTGGCAATTACCCCATTAAAAGTTATGGTCATAAGTCACCTTTTTCAGTGCCATTGTACTTTTGAATAGTCACTAAATGAGCTATCGCAAGGGTTTTTTTGTGGGGGGTTTTTGGGCACATTTACTATTGTAGAATAAATCCGACTCAAATCAGATTAACGTGCAATGTAGCAACTTTTGCCATTTGGATTCCAGCAGCAGGCTGAGCCCAATGGGTGCAAAATGTCTAATTGCTTCTTTTAGATATGTGCAAAGTTTCTATGCTCAAGATATTTTGCACTTCCTTAACTCTTCTATATAGCTGCTGCTCGCTCAACTCAAAGCATCAGTCAAGTGAAGCATTTAATGCTGCCGTTTTGCCGCAGTACATTTTTTAGAATAGAATAAGGAATTAGAATAGAATAGAATAAGGAATTAGAATAGAATAGAATAAGGAATTAGAAT